ACATTTCTATTTTATTGCAGTTTAAGAAGGAGTAGACGACTTTTTTCAATTTCGTGCAGGTATGAAGGCAAATTCTCCAAACCTATATTTTCATATGCCAATTTTGGCGCTTCTTCCATAGAGTGAGCAATTATCTCACCACTCTGCTGGATTATACGTGCTACAGAGCAGGGTTTGGGAAATACAAGAAGAGCAAACACTGTCTTATTGGTTGGGAGGGAAGTTAGGTTAGAATTATTACAGTTTATTATTTCAGTTTATTATTACAGTTTATTATCTCAGAGTTCTGATACTACGATGACTAACAATTAGTCATTTAATTTCTGGATACAATCCCTAAATGGATGCATTTTAATACTGGGTCAAGGACATCTTATGTTTATGTTGTCCGTTAACGTTAGGTACACACCACCTGATGATGTTAACAATGATTATAATGAACCACTTAATTGTATCTTCACCTATAAACTTTAAGCCGTACAATTTTAAAAGCTTGACCAAATTCTATACCAATCAACTCTCAAAAGCAGTCCATACATCTGCTCAACTTACCTCGGACTGTCGGGATAGGAGATGTGCTGTTTGTCTGTCCGACATATAGGGCTGTAGACGTTGTTAGCGACACACTTATGTTACACTGTACAGATACTTGATAGCGTCCCCTGGTATCGCAACTTCGGTTATAACTTTCCATGTACCTACAGTCAGCTAGACGGTTCTCTGTCCCTTCACAACTAACGTCGCCTATCCAATAGTAGCTAGAGCTTGTTCCATGCCATGTACCTGGCCATTGTCCACCACTGTTAAGACCAATGAAGCTATATCTACTGGTATGTTATACAATGTACAAGTTAATGGCTGGTCTTTAAACTTAGTTTTGAGCAATACACTTAATCTGTAAAATTTCAATGACTATTGATTTATGTGTTGACCTTCTATTACAAATGTCAATCATGCTAATTGTAATTTGGAATGTTTCTTCTCGTCCTTTTTTATTCACGAAATGAAATGATTCGATATTTAGAAAAATAATAAACTTCATATTCACTGTATATGCTGATTTGTTATCTAATCTTTACATATGATATTCTTGTTAAGGTACATATAGCAAAGCCAAAAACGTGGAAGGCATAGTGCCCGAAATACTAGACAAGGGCACTTTGCTTCTCAAGACAACACTGTAAGAGAAATGTTCCTGGGAGAAAGGGTCAAAGCAGATCTGGTACATTATTTGACTCTGGACATTGCAATTCTTGTTAAGTGATCCCATTCAATATAGACAAGCATAACACATCCGCGTACATCAAGCATTTATCATGGCATGTATGTTAAGTTTGTTAACGAAATTTTATAACGTCTAAATCAACTTAAATCCTTGTAATCTCACGATCAGAATCTTCTATAAAATATTTTGCATCAAGCATGACGTCTTTGTTAACTATTTGTCTTTCGAATTCAGAACAACATTTCATAATCCTCGTTCAATATGCCATTACAATACAATCACAATGATTGACTACTTGCTAATCATATCTTTTGTTTCTAGCATTAGTATAACGATAGAAATCGATCAATGTACCATTGAATTCAGTCATTTCTATCATGACTTAATTGCTATTTCCTATTTTGCTCCTTAACGTTATTTATACGTTCGCCTCTTTGTGTCTCCAATAACGAAACGTCGTTTTCGAACTTGGTGACTGATACAATGGCAAACGGCAACAACGACAACCAAATCCCAAGGGATACATTTTTCCGTTACACTATTCCCGTGATAGAAAAAAGGCATATTGTAAGAATATTAACCCGTAGTCAAGAAAATGAACTCCACCAAAAAATATGGCAATGGAGGTTAGGAATTATCATGTGATTAATTCAATCTCGTAGCCAAAGTTGAATAGCATACCTGTAGCCGAGTTGACGACAAACGACCATAGCGTTAGTAGTGTAGTTCCAGTCGTCGTCACAAACCACTCCCCATTGACCGTCATGGTAAATCTCTAACCTACCCTCCGCGTCGGAAGGCCCTCCAATCAGGCGGACGTCTCCTGTACAACATGGCCGCTATTTAGTACAGCGGATTAGGAAATATGACAAGACTCTTTCGTTTGTAATCGAGATGTATGGAGAATTCCTGCTCAGAGCTTTATACCAATATATGATCTAGGAGGTAAGAATTCTCTATTCATCTACCATTATATATGAGACATTTTTTGTTCTCTCATTTTTACTTCTAATTACATTTACAAACGGTCGCCATTATGTAGTTTTCTAAATAATGAAATATTTTATCCATGATTAATCACAAAATAATCCAAGAAAATGGATTTTCAATACCCTAAAACTGCTACATCTTTCTATTGAACTGGTCATCAAATCAACAAACTTACAAGAAAAAACAAACAACTATTCATTCGGAGTTACGCCGTTTTGTTATTGCATCCATCCGCCTTGTAATAAGCCCGTGTAACATAATACAATCAAGCATGGTTATCTTACATGGACCAGGCTTAACTTACATGACTTGATTGGGAAGGAAATCAAGTAATATTAATTGTAATGCTGTGTCCTGCTTCTCTGTTGGCTTTCTTCAGACATGACAAATTCAATATCTAAATCATTCCAGGAAGATCAATGTAAAGTTAAGCTGCCTGTAACTCCTTCATAGGGACACTCATTTGTAACTATGTAGACCCTGAGCAGCAGAAGGACAGGGCACTGTTTGCGTTACCAGTGACAATTCCAAAATGTGAGGATATTTCCTGAAGTACTGGTATATTTATTACGTAGTTACCTGATGACGATTTAGAAAGTACCGGGAGACTTATAAGTTATTTGATGAAATCTTCCTAAGTAACAACATCCTTTCAAGTACGTTTCCTTTAGAAGAAATAATATGACGTGTATACCTGCTGCTACCCATTGCTATAACGTTTATACCTGCTACTACCCAATGCTATGACGTGTATACCTGCTACTTCCCATTGCTATGACGTGTATACCTGCTACTACCCATTAATATGAAGTGTATACCTGCTACTACCCATTAATATGACGTATATATACCTGCTACTACCCATTGCATGTGTATTCCTGCTACTACCCATTGCTATGACGTGTATACCTGCTACTTCCCATTGCTATGACGTGTATACCTGCTACTATCCATTGCTATGACGCGTATACCTGCTACTACCCAATGCTATGACGTGTATACCTGCTACTACCCATTGGTATGACATTTATACCTTCTACTACCCAATGATATGACGTGTATACATGCTACTATCCATTGCTATGACGTGTATACCTGCTACTAGCCATTGCTATGACGTTTATACCTGCTACTACCCATTGCTATGACGTGTTTATTCCTGCTACTACCCAATGCTATGACGCGTATACCTGCTACTACCCATTGCTATGACGTGTATACCGGCTACTACCCATTGCTATGACGTGTATACCTGCTCCTACCCATAACATGTGTATTCCTGCTACTACCATTGCTATGACGTGTATACCTGCTCCTATCCATTGCTATGACGTGTATACCTGCTACTCCCCATTACATGTGTATTCCTGCTACTACCATTGCTATGACGTGTATACCTGCTCCTATCCATTGCTATGACGTGTATACCTGCTACTCCCCATTGCTATGACGTGTATCCCTGCTACTACCCATTACATGTGTATTCCTGCTACTAACCATTGCTATGACGTGTATACCTGCTACTACCCATTGGTATGACATTTATACCTTCTACTACCCAATGATATGACGTGTATACATGCTACTATCCATTGCTATGACGTGTATACCTGCTACTCCCCATTGCTATGACGTGTATACCTGCTACTACCCATTGCATGATGTGTATACCTGCTACTACCCATTGCATGATGTGTAAGAGGCCACTCATATTGGACCCTGCAGAAAGGGGGTTTCGCTTTGGTATACAATTGCGGCAAAAATAAAACGGTGATCCATCCATTGCAGGTTGTGTGATCTCTATATTTGTTTGCACATAAGTCAACTGAACATTAATTCAAGGAGCCATTATTTCATAAAACTAGCAAAAGATGTCCAGATTTAAACAAAAAAGATATATCCGATATATTACATATTTAAAACATCTATACTCATATAAATAGAGATATGATGTGCTTTGTGTAATTTTCTTACTGTACATATAATATACAATATCTGATATTAAAATGGAATAGCTCCGAATCCATACCAGACATAAATTTCATAAAGAAAATTCATCTTAAAAACATGTAAAAAAAATCATAGTTCTTATATAATTATTAAATCCCCCCCCCCCCCCTAATTATATTTACCTTCAGTGCCAGTTTGCTTTCCAAACGTGTCACACATGACAGCCACCTGATTGTTATCCCTCTCATAGCAAAGTTCGTCGTACCTTTCACTGTATCTGCAGTCGGCCAGACGTTCCTCTGTCCCTTCACATATAACGTCATCAATCCTATAGGTGCTGGTGATGTTCTCGACGTACCGGGTAGTTGGCCATCGTCCGCCTCTGTTAACAATACCCGAAAGGGGGTTCTTACCAGGTATCTAGTTTACGTGTGGTAATACTACAGTTGGTTTCGGTTCAGTGTGTATTCTTGTATTTCTTTAGTACATGTATACTTATTGGATAGGTTTCATAAAAGTTATATTGCTGTATAAGTGTCATTCCGCCAATCATTAGTAACACATTAATGTCAAATTATCATTTTGTATATCATACAAGTAACATTACTGAAACACAACAATGCCGTTTATGATACAAATTACATTACTATAAACATAACTATTCTGTATATCATACCAGTTACATTACTGAAACAGTACCATTCTGTATATCATACAAGTTACATTACTGAAACATTACCCTTTCGTATATCATACAAATTACATTACTGAAACATAACTATTCTGTATATCATACATGTTACATTACTGAAACATAACTATTCTGTATATCATACCAGTTACATTACTGAAACATAACTATTCTGTATATCAAACAAGTTACATTACTGAAACATAACTATTCTGTATATCATACACATTACATTACTGAAACATAGCCATTCTGTATATCATACATGTTACATTACTGAAACATAAACATTCTGTATATCATACACATTACATTACCTATCAATCAATTTGCATGACACTGTAATTATCATTCTCTCTATCTAAAAGTTACATCACCGTATTATTGTCATTCTGGCTATCATACAAGTTACATTACTGAAACATAACTATTCTGTGTATCATACAAATTACGTTACTGAAACATAACTATTATGTTTAACAAAGAAGGTAATTACTGAAACATAACTATTCTGTAAATCATACAAGTTACATTACTGAAACATAGCCATTCTGTATATCATACAAATATATAACTGAAACATAACCATTCTGTATATCATACAAGTTACATTACTGAAACATAACAATTCTGTATATCATACAAATTACATTACTGAATCATTACCATTCTGTATATCATACAAATTACATTACTGAAACATAACCATTCTGTATATCATACAAATACATAACCGAAACATAACCATTCTGTATATCATAGAAGTTACGTTACTCGAACATAGCCATTCTGTGTATCATACAAATTACATTACTGAAACATTACCATTCTGTATATCATACAAATTACATTACTGAAACATAACCATTCTGTATATCATACAAATTACATTACTGAAACATTACCCNATCATACAAGTTACATTACTGAAACATTACCATTCTGTATATCATACAAATTACATTACTGAAACATAACCATTCTGTATATCATACACATTACATTGCTAAAACATAACCATTCTGTATATCATACAAGTTACATTACTGAAACATAACCATTCTGTATATCATACACATTACATTGCTAAAACATAGCAATTCTGTATATCATATACGTTACATTACTGAAACATAAACATTCTGTATATCATACACATTACATTACCGAACAATAGCCATTCTGTATATCATACAAATTACATCACTGAAACATAACCATTCTGTATATCATACAAATTACATTACTGAAACATAACTATTCTGTATATCATACAAGTTATATTACTGAAACATAACC